GGTGATGGGGCTGGATGCCATGATCTTAGTTTTTTTGATGTTGAGCTTCAAGCCTGCATGAATTCAAATTAAAGGGCCCAGTATTTAAATAACGGAATATAAGATGCCGATATTCATCAATATAAAAAATACATATATTTATTACAAAATTATTTTAAAACAATTACAGGCCCTAATACAGGTTCAATTCAAATTACAATCATAGTTATCTCAAACATAGACCCTATGTGACCCTGACCAAATGTGTTTCAGCCTTATGGCCTTCTTCAGTGGTCAAGCGTAATTATTGGCTCCAAACAATGCAATAATATTACAATGATTACTCAATATAGGACCAAAAAGCACACTGCTATGTTACATTGGTTCCATACTGTACTTGAAAGTGATTTTTTGGGAGCAAAATCACCACTCAAACACGTGTACCTGACTAGGGCAGAAGGTGATTTCAGATGAGGCCTCTGAATTATATCTCTGTCTTAAGTCATAGAAAAACAAGAAGAAGAAGAAGAGATTGGATTCATACCCTGCCCTTCACTACCCAAAGGAGTCTCAGAGCAGCTTACAAACTCCTTTCCCTTCCCCTCCCCACAACAGGCACCCTGCGAGGTCAGCGGGGCTGAGAGAGCTCTGGCAGAAACGGCTCTTTTTCAAGGACAGCTCTTATCAGAGCTACGGCTTGCCCAAGGTCATCAATCAAGGTGCAAGTGGAGGAGTGGGGAATCAAATCCGGTTCTCCCAGATTAGAGGCCGTGCACTTAACCACTACTCCAAACTGGCTCATAGACATTGATTAGAAAACAATTCCACTTGGTCCTATATTGAGATAACTGGATTATTTTAATCTGAATTGAGGCTGTATTAGGGCCTGTAATTGTTTTAAATTCATTTTGTAATAAATACATGTATTTCTGTACATTTGATAAATACTTATATTCAGTTATTTAAATACTGGGCCCTTTAATTTTGGATTCATTTAACCTTCTAGGTTCTTAATTCATTATTTTGGGTGAAGTTTTCTCTCCCCCCTCCTTTAATCCACACTTCCCACTTGCAACACTGATTGGAAATTAAGGTGGAAAATACAGAGGGGTTTTTGCAAGATAACAGAGAAGAAGAATCTTATATTCTTTTGAATTAGGTAAAATCAGATATGCCTGAGTTTGTTGGTGCCTTGCATTGGGAAACTGCTGGGGAACATGGAAGCTGTATTTTTCCTAGGAAGCAAGATAAAGGTGTTACAGAGAGAGAGAGAGAGAGAGAGAGAGAGAGAGAGAGAGAGAGAGAGAGAGAGAGAGTGCAGAGGCAGGCATAGGTTGGGATTTCATGTATCCATCTTTGTATGAGAGGTCTTGTCAGGGGTCATTTCCTGCAGGAGCGCACAGGAGCGGAGCTCCGGCAGTAAAGAGCCCAGGGGGCAGGCACATGCAACAAGCCCCACCCCCTGCTCCCAGCAGCCCTCAGTCAGAGCAAGAAGCAGCCAGGTAAATTGCAGAGCTCCCCCAGGCCCCCCGTTCCAAAACAGTCCAGTGGCACCTTTAAGACCAAGTTTTATTCAGGTACAAGCTCTCCCTCCTCTGCGAGGACAGATCTGCACATCCCCCCCCCCAATAGCTAGCAATCCAACACAGTCCAGTGGAGCCTGAGTGGTGGGTGTTGCCTTCTGACACACTTCCAGTGATGTCAGGGGGTGTGGCATATGCAAATAAGTTATGCTAATGAGTTATGCTAATGAGCTCCTACACCTCTTTTTCTACGAAATGACCCTGGTTCTTGTTAAAAGCCAAGAATCTGTCAGCATTGGCTGGATGGGATGGACTTGGTGGGGAATCCGGATGGAAGGAGATACAGGAGAAGGATATTTGTGTATTGAGAAACACCAAGTAGAGGAAGATTGGAAAATGGGGCAGAGTGCAGGGAAAGGACACCAGGAGTTAAGCAGGCAGTATTATAGGCACAGAGCTGCGGTGGCTCAAGTGGTTAAGATGCTGAACTGCAGGCTGTGGAAGGTCGGTAGTTCAGCAGTTCAGCAGTTCAAGACCCGAGTGCTGCATGACGGAGTGAGCTCCCGTCTCTAGTTCCAGCTCCTGCCAACCTAGCAGTTCGAAAGCAAGAAATTGCAAGTAGATAAATAGGTACCAATACGGTGGGAAGGTAACAGCATTTCGTGCGCCTTGGCTTTTAGTCATGCTGACCACATGACCACGGAAACGTCTTCGGACAGCACTGGCTCTTTGGCTTTGAAACGGAGATGAGCACCGCAACCCTAGAGTTGGATTCGACTGGTTTTCGAGCAAGGGAACCTTTACCTTTATTATAGGCACACGGCTTGGCTGGGTGGTGGAACGTAGGCTGGCTACAGTAAGGGGCTACTGTCTACAGCTTAAGAGAGCCAACTGTGAATGGACAGGCATGGCAAATAATGCTTGGTGTGATTAGGCAATGGAATGATTGTTTGCTCAGAGTCTTAAGGTTTTTCTGAGCCAGAGAAATAACCCAGGTTTTCCAGTAATTAAGATCTAAGTCACAATCTATTGTTAGATGAAATCCTTCCTTTACATGTTGGATGGAACAATTGATGTCTTACTACAGGCAGGACTGCCTACAGCCATTCTGGGCCCTTCCAGATTTCTTTGGGGACCACACAAGGGTAAGTTCCAGGTTTTTGTAGGCCCTGAGTTAGAGAGTATAACTGGGGTCCCTTTCCCACGTGTGTGTGTGTGTGTGTGTGTGAACATGAATATTTGTCAAACTCTGTCTCTAGTTTGCCATGAGTTGTAGGGGGGAGGGAAATTCCTGAGGGGGTGTGTGAATGGCTGAGTGTGTGAACCACTCTAACGTAGGTGATATAACTCTTCTCAAGATACCTCCCTTCACCAGGGATGTAGAAGCACGAAAGCTAGGTGGGACATTTGTGGAGTATGATTGGATGTACTGGAGTGGGGGGGCTTCGTTTGAACTATCTGTATCTTTGGATTCTGCCGCCAGAACCCCAGTTCTGACATGGTACAGGTCTGGCCTGGAACATGATTATTTCTCAATAAACAAATCACTGCCAGAGAGTGTTGTTGAGAGTAACTTTGTCCAGGAGTCTGACAATATTCCATTGTTTGCTGTAGTAAAGGAAACTCTAATTCATTTATTTACCTATTTTGATTTAATTATTGTTCATAATTAAATCATGTGCCTGGGCACATGTTAGATCTGTCCTTCATGAATTTGTCTAATCCTCTTTTAAATCCAATTACAGCCCTCTGCAGATGTTTCATTCCCACGCCTGCATGGGAGGAATGTCAGGACCATACCTGATAGCCTCACCCCACTGCAGCCCCTAACCAAGACACTGACACCACAACCTCACATACTGGTGCTTTCTTATGATTCTGTATCATGTTCCCAGGAGGGTCCCTAAGTGCCCCAGCTTCACTGGACAACCTTGGTGGCACCAGAACAAAAAGGTTGTGTGGGAATGCAGCTGCTTTGCCTCTTCTCGTGTCATTTTCAGAGGGAAGTTCAAAATGTTAGGCATGATCAGGGGTCATTTCGTAGAAAAAGAGGTGCATGAGCTTATTAGCATAACCTATTTGCATATGCCACACCCCCTGACATCACCAGAAGTGTGTCAGAAGGCAACACCCACTGCTCAGGTTCCACTGGACCAGTGTTCCCTCTAAGCTGAGTTAGTGTGAGCTAGCTCACAATTCTTTAGCCTCCAGCTCACACGTTTTTGTCTTCGCTCAGGAAGGATGGCTCCAGAGCAAACTGATTGATGCAGTAGCCAAATCGCTCGCTCACAACTTTAATGCCACTAGCTCACCAAATAGAATTTTTGCTCACAGGACTCCACAGCTTAAAGGGAGCATTGCACTGGACTCTTTTGGATTGCTAGCTATTGGGGGGAGGGAACGTGCAGATCTATCCTCACAGAGGAGGGAGTGCTTGTACCTGAATAAAACTTGGTCTTAAAGGTGCCACTGGACCATTTTGGATGGGGGGTGGGGGGAGCTCTGCAACTTACCTGGCTGCTTTTTGCTCTGACTGAGGGCTGCTGGGAGCTGTCATGCTTGTCCCCGACCTGGCACCTGGGAGCCTTGAAAATGAGGACTCTGCACCTTTAACAACCTCAGAAGCACAAGAGTTCTCACCAAACCTAAGTGCAGGGGAGGATGAACACCAAACCACAGGACAGCTGGCACCTGAAGATGATCAGACAATACCTGGCCCTAGCAGCTAGCCACCCGATTCTCCGCCACCTGTTGACCGGCTGAGAAATCAGAGACGCTGGGATCTGGCAACCAGGCGCAAGGAGCACGCTTGCCGGATGGCAATCATTAAGTCCAGATTACTGACAGAAGCAAGGACTTCACAAAGGAGTGCTAACGACCTAGCACACTATTTGAAGAGACCGCTGGCTGCTAGCAAACTGTGCTGGCAAACTAGTCCGTGGACCAGAAGCTCTGCACCTCTGACTCTGTTTTGACTCTTGACTGATCTTCCAGTTCCTGAATCCGGTCCGTGTTTTGTCGACTCTTTGTCTGGCTCTTGATCCCCGGCTATGCTTCCTGACTACGATACTGGCTTGGACTCTGACTATCGGTAACGTTTGACTACGGCTTGGCTTTGTGTATTTGGAACCATTTGCTTGGACTCTTGTTGATCTCTCTGGCTGACTGTTGGACTTGCCTATTGACTCTCCCTCTCTGCCCGGCCCCCTGGCTCTGTCGTGACAGGAGCAGGGGGTGGGGCTTGTTGCATGTGCCCACCCCTTTGGGCTCTTTACTGCCGGAGCTCCTCTCCTGTTCGCTCCTGCAGGAAATGACCCCTGTATTGGTGCATGTGTGATGAAGTGATTTGCAATCCCATCTCAGATAAGCAGGAATTCCACATGGAAAACAGACAAATCCAGGACAAGAGTGAACAGAGAACAAGAAGGCCAGAATAATGAGTGATGTCATCTCATTCCTTTAATGAATGCCAATTTTCTTTGCAGGCAAAGTGAGGCAGCGCTATGGCAAGTGACAGAGAGCTTCTTCATGTGATCCAGGACTTAAAGAGTAAGTGCACAAAGGACCTCTCTGGTCTTTCTATAGATTTGGGCAGTATTATTACTATGGGTAGTATTTAAATTGTACTTTAAGGTTGGGCATATTTCTAAAGAATCTGCTATGTCCATAATATATCATATTACATAGATGTGTAAAGCTATTTTCAGCTTTCCTACCAGGCCTTGCAAATCACTGATGTTAACAGCAGAGTAAACTATTTCCCTATCTTTCCTCTACCCCCAAACCCAGCCTCATTTTAAGCTAGAGAAATTACCTTTTGCTGAATCAGCTCAGAGGGCTGCCTAACTGAGTACTGTCTATCTAGTACTGTCCCCAAGTACTCCAGGGTTCAAATCTCCAAGGTTGCAGGCAGTGGTCTTTTCCAACCAAGTTACTTGAGATCCTTTCACTAGAGATACTACGGACTGAGCCTGGCACAATTTACATGGAGAACATTGGATTGCCGTTGAGGCATGGCTCCTTTAGAGTGGGTAGCATTTAGGAATAGGGCTGCCAATTTCCCCCTGGGGGGCGGATTTCCCCCTGCTTTGGAGGCCCAATTTTTGCTGCCACGGAATCGGGCCCCGGGGGAAACCCCACCCCGGCGTGCACATCAGCCGGAGGTGACGTGCTGACGCCGGGCACGCTGGGGGCGGGGCCACAGCCATCTGAGGGGAAAACTCTATGTTTTCCCCTCAAATGGCTGTGGCCCCGCCCCCAGTGTGCCCGGCGTCAGCACGTCACATCCGGCTGACGTGCATGCGGTGCGTGCGCGCTTTGCACACGTGCGTGCTCAAGACGCCGTCTGGGAGCCCCCCGCCGCAGAACAAAAGGTATTTGGCAACCCTATTTAGGAACGGGCACAGACCTGAACAACAAGCCAAAATCCGGCCCAAACTTGGCCTGGTTTGAGGCTTGGATGGCTCGGCTCAAAGGTCATGTGTCCAGGCCCTGAAGTCTCTGAGCTTCTCGGCCCAGCTCAGAAGCTCTCATGCACTTTTGGCAAAGAAACCCCACCCATGGAGTGTCACACTGAAAAGCGGGTGTGGGTGGGATTTTCCAGCCATTGAGGGACCAGTAGTGACCATCCGAGGCTGACAGGTGACTCCGATTTCCAATGAGAGATGTGTGTACGTCTCCCTCAGGATGGGAGGGGGAGTGTATATCATCACTGGAGGCGCTCCTGTCCTTTGTTTGCATCAGGTGTTTGTGAGTCTAGTTCTCCTTGCGCATGTGAAAAATATCTGTTGGTAGGCCTGGGGTGGGGAGAAAATTTGCTGGGGTGGGTGGGTGGAGAAACCTGCTGGATCTCCTGGACAGACTAAAAGCATCACCCTCTCTCTTCCTTTTACTTTCTTTCCCTTCCCTGAGTTCCAGTGCTACAATTCCGTTTCCCCTCCTGTCTCTTTCTTTGATGTGAGGGGTGGGAAACAGGGGTAGAATTTTTTCACTTTTACAACACATTTCCCCCCCTTTGGGGTTGCCTGTTTCGTTCACAACTCAAACACCCAAGTGACCCCAGCACTTGTGGGATTTCTGCAAACTGCCCTTTTCTTTGTCTGCTGGCTGTGGGTTTTCTCTTTCTGCTCCTTCCAAAATACCCCCCCCCGGCTTCCTTGGTGGCTTCAGTCTGTGCTTTGGGGTTCCATCTCTCCCCTGCCAACAAGGCATTCAGCTTACCCCAGCACTTTCGGGGGGGTTTGGCTAATGGCCCTTTTCACTGGCTGTGGGGGGTTTCCCTTTCTGCTCCTTCCTGGGTGACTTCAGTCTGTGCCTTGGGGGTCCCCTTTCTCCCCTGCCAAAGAAGCACACAACTTACCCCAGCACTTTCTGGGGGAGGAGGTTGGCTAATGGCCCTTTCCACTGGCTGTGGGCTTTCCCTTTCTGCTCCTTCCAAAGGCACCCCCCCATCTTCCTGGGTTGCTTCAGTCTGTGCCTTGGGGGGGGGTCGCTTTCACAACACGTTTTGTTTTGGCTTTGGGGTTGCCTGTTTCCTTTGCAAGTCAGACACACAAGTGACCCCACCACTTTTGTAGGCCCTTTTCTCTGCCTGCCAGGTTTCCCTTTCTGCTCCTTCCAAAAGCACCCCCCCTCTTCCTGGGTTGCTTGAATCTCTGCCTTGGGGGTTCCCTCTCTCCCCTGCCCAACGAGGCACCCAACTTTCCCACTGCTTTCTGAGGGGTTTGCTGCCCTTTTCACTGGCTATTGAGTTTTCCATTCCTGCTCCTTCCAAAGCATGCCCCCTCTTCTTTCTGAGTCACTTGAGTTTCTGCCTTGGGGGTGGTGGTTCCCTCGGTCCTCTGCCCAATGGGGCAACCAACTTACCCATCATTGTTGCATTTCCCTCCATCTCGAGCAACCACTGTTCCACACACACCCCACCTGGGTCTGATGTGTGGGGGACATGAAGGGGGCCTGAAGGGGTCATTCTCATGGACATGGGTGGATGGAAAGACTGGCCACACTGAACACAGATGGTGGGATATGACTGCAGTCTCCCGCACACCTACAGCCTCCTCCCCAAATACATTGTCGGCCTCCACATTAATTTCCTCTGCCACATCCATGGGGCTGGTCTTGGTCACCACCTGAGTATTCCTTCTGGTCCTGAATGTGCTGCGGGAGCAAAGTATGAGTGGGAGGGAGGAAACTGCCATTGCTAGTGGTGTCACTGGCTGTAACACACCATCCTATTCCATGGCCAAAGATTCCCAGTCGCGATCCCCAGTAGTAATGTATGGCTGTGAGAGTTGGACCATAAGAAGGCTGAGTGCCGAATAATAGATACTTTCATATTATGATGCTGGAGAAGACTCAAAGCTCAAATACTTTGGCTACCAAATGAGAAAGGAGCCCTCACTGGAGAGGACCCTGATGCTGGGAAAGATTGAAGGAAAAAGAAGAAGGGGGTGGCAAAGGATGAGATGGTTAGACAGTGTTATCGATGCAACGAACATGAAATTGAGCAAACTCCGGAGGATGATGGAAGACAGGAGGGCCTGGCGTGATGCGGTCCATGGAGTCACAGAGTTGGTCTTGACTGTGCGACTGAAAAATATCTTCAGGAGCACACACTCAAAACTGGCACACTGTTGGAGGAGGCACCTCAATAGATGGATGGAATCATGATATGATAGACCATTGTGATTCCACCTCCCTATCCCTCTGGCCTAACTTTTGCTCTGCAGAGGAACCTTGAAGGCACTGCTGGGTCAGATTTACACATAGACAAGTAAACCTTGTGCCAGTTTGGTGTAGTGGTTAAGAGCATGGACTCTAATCTGGGGGGACCAGGTTTGAGTCCCCACTTCTTTAAATGCAGCTGCTGGTGTGACCTTGGGTCAGTCATAAGTTCTTTCAGAGCTGTTCTCTCAAGGGCAGTTCTTGGGAGAGCTCCCTCAGCCCCACCTACCTCACAGGGTGTCTGTTGTGGGGAGAGGAAGGGAAAGGAGTTTGTAAGCTGCTCTGAGACTCCTTCGGGTAGTGAAGGGTGGGGTATAAATCCAGTCTCTTCTTCTCTCTTCTTTCTAATCGCATGTCCCAAAGCTGGAAAACAGAAAAGAAGAAACCCTTTAACCTGCCAAAATGAAAGTACAAAAATACAGAAGGGTAGAACATATAGGTGGAAGAAACATCCAATGAAAGCATCTTGAGCCCACCAATGCAGTTGTATTCCAACAATATATACAAAAAAGATTACAGTACCATTAATCATGTATAGTATGAGTGCACTAAATAACTACAGACCATATAAATAGGCATGAAAATAGTGGACAAAGAATTAAATACACAACAGATACTAGATTCTGTCCTTACATTGTGCTAGATACTCGATACTAGATTCTGACCTTACCTAAGAAAATTCCTCTCCTTCCTATTCCATAATGAAGACCAAGATGTTCATTAGCCATGTCTGGGTGTTTGGGATGGATCATGTCAAGCAAACGAGTAGTGAGGCCTGCAATGGCATTAGACCCTGCTGAGATCCCTCCCCTCCCCCAACCCTGACCTCCCAGGTTCCAGCCCCAAATCTTCCTCCTGGAGTGGGCAACCCTGCAGTAAACTACAGCAGAAACATTCAACTCTGACCCCTTTAGTTATACACACCAACTACTTTCTGAACCTGTTAATTCCAGCTGGCTATCATACATCGAAGCCAAAATAAGTTCTCTGAACTTATCTCTAGAATCCTTATTTATGCTTTCTGAGTCTGAGGCCTTTTAAAAAATAAAATCTAATTTATTGGGATCAGAGCTACAAATTCTTTATAGCCTGGCTAACAGAACCTGTTCTCCCTTAAACTTAGGGATTGTTCCAAGTGCAAACCTCCCAGCTGTATACCTCTATCAACTCACAGCTCCAAATTTGCATAGAGCCATATCCTTGGCTAGATTTAATGTTCTTCCTTCAGCTATCTTATCTGGCAGATTCCAAGGGATTCCCTATCCTAGCAGGTGTTGTCCTTGTATGAAGGAGTGTGTTGAAACTGTCGCCCATGTTCTTCTCCAATGCCCTCTCTATCTGACGTCCCGCCGGGTACTTTAAACCATACTAGCCCAACTTTTAGGGACCTCTGATGATTTTCTTTTCTTGCTTGGTAATCCAGATACAGAAATAACTGAAATAGTAGCAAAGTTTCTTTACAATGTCATGGTCACACGTCCTGATAAGTAATATTATGAATTAGATTTTATCATGCTGTTACTCTCTTTTTCTATCCTGCAATTTTAATTTTACTCTGTACGGATTCTGTATCTTGTATTTTGTATCCAGATTATTGTATATGTATATGCCAATAAAGGCTTGTCTGTCTGAAGAAACATCTCATGCCCTTGCAACTAACTACATCCCTTTCTTTATCTAGGTGCAGTGACTGATTTAAACAAAAACTACCGAGAACAGGGGCTGCCAGTGACAGATGGTAGTTGGGAGCTGTATCAGTTCTGTGCCCAGCTGGAGTTCTTGCTGCAGGTAATACCTTTATAATAACACCTTTTGATTTATTGATCGCTCAATCCTGCAGGGCTGCTGGCTCTGAGCGATTTACAGTTACACATGTTTTCACAGGGGACTAACAATGATAGGGGTAAGGGAGGACAACATATAATTCTTTAAATCGCACACGTTTGCAGTCGACGGGGATTTTGTTCAGCTGTAGGCTTCAGTCGTGTTCCGGGCGGCATTCATTTCGGCTTGGCTTGATGACGTTAGTTCTTCCTGGGCTGGCTTTGAGTTGTAGCGCCACACTGCCACCACCTAGCCGGATTGGCCCATTACATGCTTCTTGATGCCAAAGAGGTGTTTTTTCCAGGCTTCCGAGCTTCCAAGCTGGACATTCCGTTCGCCGGCTAACACCTCCCCTATGGGGGTTTAGTGTGCCCACCCTCTCTAAGGAGTGGTACCTATTTTATCTACTCGCCAAAGCTTTTGAACCGCTGGGTGGACGGCTAGCTGGGAACAAGGCTGGTAGCTCACACTAGCGCGGGCTAGAACTGACTGGAACTCTGTTCAGTTCAGATGTTAACCAGAGGATAAATCCTCTGTGCCACTGAGTGTTTTGTTGACTGATCCAAGGCCTTGGCTGTCAGTATGATCCCTAAGAAGTGTATTTGCCTGTCACAGTACATCACAAATGCTGCAGTCTGAGGGTGTGCTTACTGATTTTGTAACAAAGCATCCTTCACCTTAGAGCTCCTCTCTTGTGTGGCTGAGAAGGCCAACTTGCATTCTCTGACAAAGCAGAGTGCTACTGAGGTGCATGTCTTTTGACCTTTTTTGTAAGTGATTCAAATCCTGAAGTGAGGGCAGCGGAGTCCACTCATTAGATGGATGGCTGCGGGAAGTAGTCGGAACTCCTCCACAGGAGGGAAGGGCGTTCTGTGCTCCTTCAAAGGCTCCGTTGCTTTTTAATAACTCACTAAATATTTCAGGATTTGAGCCTGGCTCTGAAAATAGATTCCAGGGCTGTGAGCCCTGTCTTAAATTAATCTGTGAAATAGCATCTGCCTCTCCGTTCTTATAACCAAGACATTGACTGACAGCTGCTGCTCCTTCCTTTTCCTTTTGTAAGCCCAGGTTACATTTTACTCCTTCCCCTGCATGTTTTTTCTTCCATGTGGTTTAGTATGATTTGAAAGAGAAGAAAAGCCTCTTTGGGCAGAGGAAGGACTACTGGGACTTTCTGTGCTGGGTCTTGACAAAGCTGCACAGTGGTGCACATGCAGGGATGGAACACATCACCTCCCTTGACAAGGTAAGGCAAATTTGTGTAATTGAGCACAGTGTGTAAGATGATACTCATGTAGTTTGGTGGAGGGAAGTGATGTACTGTTGCTAATGTTAATATCAACAAGGCAGTTAGCTCTTAAAGGTAAAGGTTCCCTTGCTCGAAAGCCAGTTGAGTCCGACTCTAGGGTTACGGTGCTCATCTCCGTTTCAAAGCCGAAGAGCCAGCGCTGTCCGAAGACGTTTCCGTGGTCATGTGTCCGGCATGACTAAACACCAAGGTGCATGGAACGCTGTTACCTTCCCACCGAAGTGGTACCTATTTATCTACTTGCAATTTCTTGCTTTCGAACTGCTAGGTTGGCAGGAGCTGGAACTAGAGACGAGAGCTTACTCCATCATGCGGCACGCTCGGGTCTTGAACTGCTGAACTACCGACCTTCCACAGCCTGCAGTTCAGCGTCTTAACCACTTGAGCCACCGCAGCTCCTAGTTAGCTCTTAGCCTTTATTTAAAAGCATGAGGCTTACTTTGTTTCTTCATAGATGCTTTTTATACAGGTGTTCATTATATACTTTCCCCCAACAACCTTTTTTCAGTGAAATCCAAGGATACTATCCCAGAGTTCCACTCTGCTTTGCTCTCTAAATAAGTAGTAGTTTCCAGGGTGGACAAAGCTATTGTGGTAGGGATACAGTGGACCTTTTATGCCAAGTTTGCAAATACTTCAGGGAATAAGAACATGTATTATTCTTTAAAGAGAAGTGTGTATGCTATCGTCCCTCCTCACTTCATTATGTGAGAATAATATAACAATGCTGAGTGTATTAAAAATTAAATTCAGTTTCAAAATTCAATAGATTTGATATGGCCTATTTTGCCTTCAATTATGGATTTTTAAGTCGCTATAAAGTGGAAGACCTAGGTTTCAATAGGGAACTCACAGTTCAAGCTATCTGCTTGACAGAACCTAGGGCAGACCTTTAAATAGTATAATACGTAGTTAGGCCTAGTCCAGTTTCTTACATACTGGGTCTCATCCTCTCTTACCTCCATTATGTGAGGTGCATCCAGAGCTGCGGCTGGCCTTCAGCTCCCACCAAACACTTTCATCATTGAAACATTTCCTTGTTGGTATCCTTGCAATGTTGTTCAGCCTTTATCCCTTTTGCCATTGAGCGTCAGCCTTTAGTTAGGCAGGGTGAGGCAGACTGCTCCGAGCAATGGATTGGACAGGGTGGTAGGCATTAAAAGACAGAAAATTGGCTAGTTCATTCTTTTCCCTTTTTTTACTATGCAAAGGATCACTGTTTAAATTTTCTGCCTCAGACATCAAAATGTTGTGAGTTGACTCTGGCATAGTCAAGCACTCCCTTTGTCCAGGCCTTCTCCTTTGATGCCTCTTGGCTTGATTGTGCAAAACAAGTTAATCATTATGCATTTTCTGTAAGAAGGAGCTGGCAGTTTTCAACACAGGACTCCAGTGCTTTTTTGTTTTTGTTGTTGTTCAGTCACACAGTCAGGTACGAGTCTTTGTGACCTCATGGACCACATCATGCCAGGCCCTCCTGTCTTCCACTGTCCTCCAGAGTTTGCTTAATTTCATGTTGGTTGCTGTTTAACCATCTCATCCTTTGCCGTCCCCGTCTTCTTTGACCTTCAATCTTTCCCAGCATCAGGGTCTTCTCCAGTGAGTGCTCCCTTCTTATTTGGTGGCCAAAGTATTTGAGGTTCAGCTTCAGTATCTGGCCTTCCAGGGAACAGTCAGGGTTGATTTCTTTTAGGATTGACTGATTTGATCTCCTGGCAGTCCAAGGGACTCTCAAGAGTCTTCTCCAGCACCATAATCCAAAAGCATCTATTCTTTGGCACTTGGCCTTCCTTATGGTCCAACTCTCGCAGCCATCCATTACTACTGGGAATACCATTGCTTTGATCATACGGACTTTTGTTGGCAGGGTGATGTCTCTACTTTTTATTCTGCTGTCTAGGTTTGCCATCGCTTTCCTCCCAATGAGCAGGTGTCTTTTAATTTCGTGGCTGCAGTCACCATCTGCCGTGATCTTGGATCCCAGGAATGTGAACTCGGTCACTGCTTCCATGAATTCCCCTTCTATTTGCCAAGGAGTGATGATCTTAGGTTTGTTGATGTTGAGTTTCAAGCCAACTTTTGCGGCTTTCCTCTCTCCAGGGCTATTTTTGGGCAGGAACGCACAGGAACGGAGTTCCGGCTGACTCCCAAGTTGGCCACGCCCAGCAGGAACTCATTAGCATAATAGGCCTCACCCAATAGCAGAAACATATTAGGATTGGCTACATTAGGGGTGTGTGGCCTAACACGCAAAGGAGTTCCTGCTACAAAAAAAGGCCCTGGGTTTTGACAACAAACAAGGTAAACAGAATAACAAGCGAAAGGTGGGTGTGGCTGGATAACCACACTTCTGGTAACATGGGGGTGCGGCGTAATGTGACAATGAGCTGTGCTGTCAGGGGTGTGGCCTAATATGCTAATGAGTTTTTGCTGTTGGGTGTGGCCTATTATGCTAATGAGTTCCTGCTGGGCTTTTTCTACAAAAAGAGCCCTGCCTCTTTCACCCTTAGCAAGAAGCTCTTTAGGTCCTCTTCACTTTCTGCCATTAGAGTGATATCGTCTGCATATCTGAGGTTGTTGATGTTTTCCCCTGTAATCTTAATTCTGGATTGTGATTCATCCAGACCAGCATTTCGCATGATGTACTCTGCATATAAATTAAATAAGCAGGGTGACAATATACATCCTTGTCGTACTCCTTTTCCTATGCTAAACCAATCAGTTGTTCCATATCTGTTTCTAACTTTCGCTTCTTGACCCTTATACAGATTTCTCAGGAGACATAT